TTGTAACAATTTAGTATTAATCTTTTTTATTTCTATCTGTAGATTTTGAATGATTTCTAATTTTTCTTTTTGTCATTTTGTTCTTGTATTTTCTTCCAAAATTCTTCTAGGGATTTGTCTGTGTTTTCCTTGATCGGTCTTTCAATCCTTTGAAGATACCTAAAGATAATTCTTTTGAATTCCTTATTAGGGAGTTCTGATGCTGCTTCTTCCTCAGGGATGTGTTCTGCATCTGTATCCTGCTCCCTTGTTTCCACCACTTTATCTTGCTTCTTTATGTGGACTGTTGTGGTCTGTTGTCTCTGAGACATTGTGCTGTATTTAGATCTCTGTTAATTGTTTGCAAAGAGCAGCTAAGAGTGAGTCAGGCTCTTCTTGGTGGTTGTTTATCATAGGCCCATTGGTGGAGAAGGAGGCAGTGACTCTCACTCAGTAAGCGAAGTTGCAGAAGGTGTGGGTGTAGTTGTGTCATATGGGGTCTGTTGCAGTCTCCCACTCAGTTAGACAAAATAACAATTGAATAGCCATCAAAAAAGTAAAAGCAAGTGAACAAAAAACACACCATGTAATCACACAGGAACAGTAACCAAAAAAGGGAAAAGGGCAAAAAACAAAAAGAAAACAAAACCAAAAACACTGCAATATCTGGGGATAGGACAGTAAGAAGAAATTATACAGAAGGACAATAATGAAGGGGAAAAAATGGGAAAAACACAAAAAGGAAAACAAGGAACAGGGTTGCCCACAAGAATGACAAGAAAAAAAAAAAAATGGAACCAGGAACAGAGAAAAGAAAAAAAGCTGAACACAGAACCTGGGAAGGGAAGAATAAAGAAGGATAATAAAAAAGATGAAAGTAATAATAATAGTAGTAGTTTTAAAACAGACAAAAACAAACTAAAAAAAGAAAAAAAAATCTGGACATGGTGGGGCAAGGTACCCAGGCTTCATTCAAGCACACAGACTTAGATGTAATTCCTGCCAGCCTAGAAGATAGGTGGGAGTGAAGGATGGCCACACTTCTGTTCACCAAGAGAGTGTGAAATATAAGAGCAACAAGGGGAATGTCACACCTTTTCAGTAGTCCATGCATCTGGGATGTCTTTGTGGTTCCCAGCAAGCGGAGCCTGTTCTTAAGTCCCTGGAATCTGTTGCTTTAAATATCCAAAATGATCAAGCCGCTTGTAAACATTCAAAATGGCTGCACCCTCCGGACAGGCAAAAGTCCGTAGCTCAACCCGCCTTTCTCTTCCCTGTTCCGCCTTTTATTCCCCAGCCACCAGAGCAGTCCTCTGTGCAGTCCCCAGCTAGCAGGGTAGATTTTTAGGTTAATTCTTAGTTCCTACCACCACTCAGCAATATCCAGTCATTTGTGCCATCAGGATTGCTGCCAGACTGCAGCTCCATATGTCTCCTTTTTTGTTTTTATGCAAATTCTTCTGCTAGTTGGAATTTAGTCCACTTCTATATCCTTCCCTTCAAGGCTTAGGGGTCCAGGATTATCTTTTGTATCTGTGTTAATCAGTTCCCCTTTTCTTTGTTGAAGTGAGTCTGTGCAGCCTTTCTGCCTATTCTGCCATCTTACTGGAACTCTTGCTCCATAGGGTTTTCCAGGATAGATTGTTGTAGACCTTTCAGAAGCAGATCACTAGATGTTTCTTCTGAAGTAAATCTGGGTAGGTTTGAACTGTCAAACTTTTGGTTAATAGTTGAGCACTTAACCAATTGCACCACCCAGGGAAAGCCAAAAGACTAAGCTTTATAAAAGCAAGGAGATTGTGAAACTTTTAATCTAGGCCCCTTTCTCTTTTGCAAGATAGTTTGTAGGTGAAGAATTTCTATGCTTTTATGTATTCACTAGGATTGTTAAGAGACTGCTTTGTTTTGTTTGAAGACTGTGGATGACTATGGAATAAAGTCTAAGAGGGATGTAATGATCCACTGATGTAAGGGGGTGGGCAGTACAAGGCTGCAACAGAGCAAATGATGACAGATAAGAGATGCTGCACACTCACCAGGAGCATCTGGGCACAGATGCACCAGAGAACATCTAGTTCACTGGTTGCTAGTGCTGCCCTGCCCCTGTGCACTCAGGTCTTTGCAGGTCACTCCAACATTCATCTTGGGGATTTGTTTCTGCTCTACCCCAGCAATGTGAATCATCATGAGTAGCTCTCAAGCCTCTGGCCTAGCTTAGAGTCCTCACAAATCACCCTTCAGCACTGCCTCTATTGTGTGACCTGGGCTGCTCCAGACTGAGCAGGATCCAGGTATGTTCTGAACACCTAATTGATGGTGTTAAACAGAAGAAATAAATGCCTTGATAGCATAGGTCTTTAAAGATGCTCTAGTAGTAAATCACTTCCATATAATGTTCTTGCTGTGAGGGCTGTAAGTGGCTCAATTTCTCTGGACCTCCATGGAAAGGAAAAGCCAGCAACCAGTGAGAAATGTGCCCCCAAGGAACAAATTGAAGCAACATGTCTTGTAGCGTTTTCATTTGCAGGCTCATTTAAGAATCAGGGAGTGTTGAACATTTGCTTTTTATGACACCAAATTTGTCAAATGGAGAATGGCAAAACTAGAAAGAGAGAGTAGGACCACTGTCAAAGGAGTAGGACCACTGTTCATCTCTTGTTGGAGTGCCCTTGGAAGGAGGAATCACACTTCCTTCCTTTATTTCCTTTCTCCTTTAGCTCCTCCCTTCCTGACCTGGTTATTTACACACACACACACACACACACACATACACACATACCAGCCCCTAGCTCCTCCTAGCATCACAAATGTTCTGTGGGGTGAAGTGGGAATCTTGGTTCTGGTGCCATGAACAGCCTTCTAAGCCAGGAGCAACTGCAGAACACATAGAGTGTCTGCAACATCATTGCATATTTCTAAAGAAGGTGAGTGAGTTAAGTTGGTATTACATAATAGGAACCCCTTTGAACTTATTCTCCAGGGAGGCATTAAAAAAAAGAAAGAGAGAGAGAGAATCAAATTTCTTCCTGTGAATATTCTGCTAACTCATATTGCATTATGTTGAAGTAAATTGATCAAATTTTCTATTTCTTTTGCACTGTTGTTGTTGTTGTTGTTATTTGCCGTCGAGTCGGCCCCGACTCATAGCGACCCCTCCTTGGGTTTCCGAGGCAGTATCACTACGGAAGTAGGATTGCCCAACCTTCCTTCCGAGGAGTGGCTGGTGGGTTTGAACCGCCAGCCTTCTGGTTAGCAGTCAAGTGCCTTAGCCACTATGCTACCAGAGCTGTTAGGCAACTTCAATATATTCTTTTTGTTATATTATTTCATTTAATATGTCATGTAACTATTTTTTTTTTTCCTATTTTAGCAATGGTATATTGGATCCATCATAATAAATTACCACAGGGGATGAAGGAGCATGTTTTAAACAACCAAATTAGATTTACCCTCCTAAATGTGGATCTTAGATTAATTTTTGCTTTGTGGTTAGGGACAAGAAAAAGTGAGCCTAGGACAAGTGACATGATGCCAGTCCTGCAGCAGCCTTGATGGTACATGGCCATCAGAGTTTAAGGACACATGATTGGCACATAACATACATTGGCCCTCAGTTTGGAGAACAGTTTAATGTATGGTGTAATACGGAGAGAAAATTTTAAAAATTCTCATACTATTGTTGCTCTGAGGAATAACACTTAGGCTACAAATCTGAGGGGTTTTGTTTCATTCAAAGTTTTCAGAATGTTGTAAGTGCTGCTTTGTGCCTGTACCTGTCTATTGTGCCACCACTGAGCTTTTCTCTTCCCATATTTTCCAAAACGATAAAAGAGGGAGTCTTCAATGATAAAAGATGGGTAATTTGTTCCAAAGGCAACTTACCTGTAGCAGCTTTTTCTTCTTTGTTATTCTGAGTTTGTTTCAAGATGCTCACACGGTGGTGGTGAGGGGTGATATTTAGTGTTGCCAACAGCTGAGCCTTTTAAACCTGCTCCACACAAAACCCTTACTTTAGGCTGGGAATCTGAAAATGAGCTCTGTCATCAATTTTCCTTTCAAAGGTTCTTGTGGCCTGCCCTTCCCAACTTCAGTCGAGCTACCCTTATGAAAAGTGGACCCTTTACTGGGAAGATTTCAAAAATCTGTTTAGAGAATGTTGGAAGATTTAGTGGGCCTCAAACACTTGCAACAACACACCACAAAAGGAAAGGAATATTCAGTTGTGATGCTTAGCATAGCTCTTTCATCAAATTTTTCAACAAGAGGTAAACAACCCAAATATTAACTGATGAATTGTTAATCAGAATTTTACCCCTTAGAGCTGAGTGACACATAACAGAAAGCAATGTAATTACCTATGATTAAATTTAATACCCTAAACAGATGGTGTTCCATGTTTTCTCCCCAAAATGGGTTGCTCAGTTGATTGGAAAATTCTTTCTGAGCCCTAACCCCAAATCCAGTTACTTAATTTCTGTTTAATCCAAATGTGAATTGGTTTGCATCCCTTACTTTGGGAATCTGACTGTAAAGTCATTTCTACTTTCTTCTAGTTGATACTCAGAAAACAAAAATTAACCAATTTATTTATTTGAGGAATTGCCATTGTATCGAACCCCAAATTGATGAGAAATTATGGATTTGTTAAATAAAGTGGTGTTCCTACAGCTCCTTGGTTAAAAGGATACATTGTTGTGGATGCTTATGTAGATTTCTCTGAAAAAGATGCATTCAGTCTTCACTGTAACACTACCTTCCAGTGCATTCATGGGAATTCCAAGACTTCAGCTCCGGTTAGCCATTTTGGAGGTTACACACCTTTGAATTGCCAGAAGGGCAGACTCCAGAAGTTCAGGTTCAGCTCTAAAATTCATAACCTTAGCAATGGAGTGGTGGTGTTCTGTTTTTTTCCTTTTTTTCATTCCAAAAAAAGATAGCTTTTAAAAAACATCAAAAGCTCTGCTTTAAATCCTTGCTGAAGCCATGAGATGCAGAAATAAGTCAGTCCACTTTACTTTGACTTTGAAAATATTTTATTTCAATAGTAAATAGTTATACAGTCAAAACAGTTCTATTGAAGCTTTCTATAAATAGCTAACAATTAAGAAAATAATGTGTGTAGAAAAGAGATTGCATTTAAAAGTAAGAGCTGTCAATTGTACAAGGGCCTCAGGTGCCCTCCAAGCAGAATAAAATGGTAGGTTGTCTGTAATTTGCTCAGATAGATATAAAAGTTAAAACTTTCAGCAGATCCCTTTAGAAAAAGGCTCTTTTCTAAAATGCACAGTGAAATGTCAAGAGTGGCAGGGGGAAAAAGCTCACCAAAAAATCCTTAATCAAATAATATCATAATATTCATAATTAATATAAATAAATAAAGAATAAATAACAATTATGCATAAATCAACATATACATTTAGATAAAACTCATATAGTTCTACCTCAATAAAGATGATCAAACCAAAAAAAATCTTATTTGAAATATTGAGGCAGTTTCTACAGCATCTTTTGAAATTCCCTTCCCTCCCCCCCCAAAAAAATCCCAAACAGACAACAAACAGTTCAAGGCATTTGTGGCTATACTAAAGAAAACTCTTTTTTAAGCAATCTGATTTGTTCACATACAAAAAGGTAAAGCCAGACTCCAGCAGTTCACAAGCCATAATAAAGCTAATCGTGTGGGAAGTTAAATTTACAGCCTGTGAAATATAAAGGCATTTATTCCTCAAGATTCACCCAAAATAACCCGTACGCTACATACATAGAGAGCAGAGAGTGGTAGGCAAGAGCAAACCGCATTTCTAAACCATGAACACAGCGAATACTAGCAAGAAAAACAGCTTCTCCCCTCCAACGGGAGGCTTCCAACAACCACTAGACAAACGCGTACAGCTTTTCTCCCTTGTACAGAAAGAGATTGGCTCCTCTTGCGCCAACCGGGGAGAGTGGGGAGACAACGCAAAAGGGGGAGGGGGCGTCCAAAAGGAGTCACGACGAGAGGATCGGGGTTACCGTCACGTCACACCGAGAGAAGCGGAGAAGACACTTCGACAGGGGAGTGGGCATCCCCGGCGCAGACTTGGGTTCAAGGCGCGTAGGGCGCGCTCTCTGTGGGTCTCCAAGCGAAGGCACAGTTCAGGGGGCCGGGATGGAGGGAGCGCTCTAGCAGGCGGGACGCACGGGCACCTGCAGGAGGATGACTTGTCTGTTCTCGGACGGGTGGCACTTGTTGATATGCCGCGTGAGGCCCGGCGAGCTGTAGAAGGTGGCCGGGCAGTACTTGCAGGGGAACACCTGGGCGGCGTGCAGCAGGCGCAGATGGCGCTCCTGGGAGCCTTTGCTGGGGAACGTCTCCCCGCACACTGGGCACAGGTGGCACTCGGCAGGCGCACTCAGGCCCAGCATGCCGGTCACTTCCCCATCGCCGGCCGCTTCCTGGGGCGCCTTATCATCTGGCCCGGGGTACAAGGCCAGCAGGTCCTCAGCCTGGGGGGCAGGAGGCGAGCCCTTGGACTGCAGCACCTGGTGGTGCGCCAGCAGGTGCTTGCGCAGATAGGCCTGGCGGCGGAACTTCTTGGCGCACTGGTGGCACTCGTAGAGCCCATCCTCGGAGCCAGACTCAGACACGCCGCCAGGGCTTGGTGTATCACGGTCGCTGCCGCCGCCGGTCGCCTCCCGCGCCTCAGCCCTGGAGGCGGCTTCGGGCTCTGGCGCTCGGGCGGTGGCGGGAGCGGGCCGCGGTTTGTGCCAGCGGCGATGTGAGGCCAGGTTAGCCGGGCAGCTGAAGACCTTAGCGCACTCGGGACAGCGGTACTCCACGCGCACGATGCGCGAGCACTTGTGCTGCGCCAATGAGAACGGGTCGGCGTACTCCTCCTTGCACAGCTGGCAGATGAACTCGCCTAGAGGCCGCGTCGCGCCCCCTGCACGGCCCCGTGGCGCCTCCACCGGGCCCTCCTTGATCTTGAGTCCCAACACGGGCGAAGTGGTCACCTCGTCTTCGAAATGCAGCTTGCGAATGGCCTTGGGTTTCTTCACGCCTGGGGCCTTGACTGCCTTGGCGGGGGGCTCCACAGCGGCAGCGGCTGGGGGCGCAGGCCGCTTGCCCGGGGGCCGCAGGGCGGCGGCAGGGACAAGTGAGGGCCCGGGCCCGGGCCCTCGGGCTGCCTCGGCGCCCCCCGAGAACGTAGCGCCCATCTTGATCTCCGTAGGCGCGAAGAGCATTGCGTCGCCTCCACAGGTACCGCCGCCGCCCGCGCCGTGCCCACCGTGCCCGCCGCTGCTCCCGAGCAGCGCGGCGGGCGTGGGGAAGGACTCGGCTGAGACTGGCGAACCGAGGTTGAAGCTGCGCTCGAAGTATTTGTGTTTCTCGTGTTCGCGACTCACGGGCCGCGTGGGGCTGTACAACGGCGCCGGGTGCGCTGCTTCTGGGTTGCCGAAGTGGGCGGCCCGCGGGCCCGGCGGGGGCGGCGGCTGGCCAGGCGCACAGGCGAGCGCAGCGGCAAGCACCGCATGGGCGCGCTCGGCCGGCGGCGGCGGCGGCAGCGGCCCGGGCCCGGGTCTTGGCGTAGGATGCTCGGCGCGGGCGCCCCCACAGCCAGGCGAGAGCAGCAGCGTGCGGTCGTGGTCCTCGCCGGTGCGAACCCGGTAGGACACGGGCGTGGACTTCTTGTTGCGCTTCACCAGGAAGCCGCGGGGCATCTTGGCGCGGCTAGCCGCAAAGGCGCTGCTCGCTCCCACCTCCGCGCTTGGCCCGGGAAGCCCTCAGTGGCCGCGGCCCATGGCCTGGCGCAGTGGCGGCGGACTCGCGTGGCGCCCGCGGCGGCTCAGCCCGGCTCTGTGCCCTGCGCTTTGCGTCCCTGTCCCCAGGTCTGGGAGCCGCTTCCTTTTAACGGGGGGAGGGGGCCATTGTTCTCGCCTCCCGCTTCCCCCGGAGCCAATCAGCGCGCCCGCAGCTCCTCCGCCTGGTAGGGTGGGAGAGCGACCAGGCTGCAAAAAGGGAGCTGGGACTCGGGGGTCGCCTGGTAGGTGCGGCAGATGTACCTGAGGGCGCGGGGCCCCCGCAAGCGCCCCTCGCCACTCCGCCCGTCGCCGCGCCCCGTCAGGCCCCGCCAGGCCGGGGCACACGCCCGGCCCCGCCTCCCTTCACGGTCGACTGCTCCTCTATGGGAGGCGCACGTGCCTGGGCTTTGTGTCTCTCCTCTGGGGGGCACGGGGCGGCCAAATGGGCCCGTCCATCAGCACGACAATGAGCCCCCCCTCCAGTGCGGGGATTACCCGCGGGTTGCGAGCAAAATAGCAACAAAGGACAAGAATGGCCCCAAATATGTCAGGAGGACGCAGTACGCGAGCCATAGTAGAGGGGAAAATGGTGCGCGCTGATTGGGTGGGGTGGGGAACAGCAGCAGGCGCCAGGGTCTGGGAGTGCGGCTGCGGGGCTAGAGACTGAGCCCGGGGATTGCTCGATAGCTCCAAATGGAGTTTCAGAAATTATTATTAGTTGCAAATAGCTGCAACGCATGGGCAACCAAGAGCCCTTGCCTGCCCCGGAAGGGTGGGCCAAGATACCCGGGTTTAAGCGAAAATGGAATCCAGGGTTTCGAGTTTGAGTGGAAGATGTTGCCTTTCTGGCAGCAGTCAAAGGATAAGGTTAGTGCCCACAGCCCCAGCGCGTCCATCGGTCCTACAAAGATTTCTATCCAGTTTGGGAAACAGTTTGCACCGCACTTCTTCAATTGCCTGCAGACGTGGGGGAAGGAGGGGCAGGCTGGGCTGGGTTCCAAAGGGAACTTGAATTTCTGAACTTTTCTTTTTTAAGTTCCCCGGGGCTTGCGGATTAGCATCCTTGGAGAGCCCCTACCCAGGCCAGTCGCAACCCCCGTGCCTCCCAGGACTAGGCTGATCCGGGTGGATTTGGTCGAAGCCGGTAACGCGCTATCAGCCGCGTGCGCCCCAGTGAAGTTGGTTTCTGCCCTGCCAGCGCTGCCTCATGCATTTTCATTCCGAGCGGGCATTTTGTCTGCCGGTTGACATCAGATGCTAAATCAAGGGCTCCAATCAAGGCGCTGCGGAATAAAGGGGCCGCCTGTCTGGGCGCGGGGGCCCCCCGGAACCGTGCCCCCTTCACCTTTGTGAAGGAAATTAACCTCCCGCTATTGAGCTCAGGCCGCGGCCAATCTGGACGCAAAAGAGACGCGTGCTGCTGGTTGGGGGGAGGGGGGCAATCTGTCCTCCCAGGCAGACTTCGGCCTCCAAGAAGACAAGCCACTTCCCCTGTGCCACCAGGAAAAGACAACAGAGAAGCCCTACCCACGCCCCTGCCGCCCCGTTTGGACCCAGACCTCCATCACCTTTCCAACTGAACCCAAGATAACACACAAGACAGAATCTCCAGGGAGGGGGCAGAACCTCACAAACGCATAGTGGCCCAGATTGCACACCACTAGAGAACAAACAGTAAAGCCACATACAATGTCAATTATAGGGAAATGTCACTTTATTGAAAGAGAAGGAAACAGGCTTTTTCTGCAAAATTCTGTTTACGCGGATAAATTTTGCTGAAAGAATCTTACTTGCACTTAATTCCACTGAAGGTAGTTAATTGATTTGGATTTTCCCTCTGAAAATACCCTGGCGTGGAAATTAGGTGTTTTTTTTTTTTTTTTTATAGTGCCCACATGACTTGTCATGGGGACAGATGTTAGAGAATCTCTGGTTAATCAAGGGGAAATATAATTGCTGATTTTATATTTGAAATTAAAAAAAAAACCACAGACTGAAAAGAAAAAATATAATGGAATATATATTTAAAGTCTCACCTTCATTTAAAAAGGTTAACTGCCATGAATGCTAGTTTTTTTTTAAGTTAGAAATCATAAATGAATTAATCTAAAATGCATAAATATGTCTCCATCTAAAAGTAAGTGATGTTATTTTCTTGCTCTTTTGAGCGCTGATTAATACTGCTGATGAAATTAGAAGTAGGAAAAAGATTCCGGGACAGCTTTGACCGATTTTATTTTCTAATCATGAATCCCATCTGAATTGTGGAATAATAAGGCGGGGGGGGTGTGTGGATCGCCCTCCACCCGCAACTGACTATGGGGAACTTGGTCTTGCACAAGTAACACTCCTTTCATTCAACAGATAACAGGGAGAGTTAGTCACCTAGTGAATTCTTTAAAAATAACAACACCCATAATTGTAAAGAAGGAGGAGGACGAAAAAACAAAACAAACAAAACAAAACAAAATCCTGCCTGAATGCACCGAATTCAAACAGGGCTCTGAATTAAGCCAAGGGAACCTATTGAACGCTATTGAGATACTGAGATTCAATGGATCCGATTCTTTATCTTGCCAGCTGAAATGAAATCTGCTTTCAGACGGGTAGGTACGGTTATAGTAAATGGAAACTTGAAAGGTGCAAGTATTCGAAACTAATTTCATAACCCGCGGCTGAAAATGAAGCTGTGTACGGGCGTACACCAGCAACCTCTAAGCAGGTGCACCCGTGTCCGAGGTCTTGGGTCTCTGCCGCCTTCTGCGTGATTTTATTTCTCAGACTGTGAGAGCCACAAGGGGTTGAGTATTTATCTTCATTTGGGAGAGCAAAGTAAAACCGCGTGGGGCCCCCGCGGTCGGCCTTTGCGATTAGAGGAAAGGTCCGAGTGGAGTTGGGATGCGGGCACTGAGCGCTGACTTCCAGGAAAGTTGGAAGCTGGCCGGGGGAGTCAGTGAGCTGAGGGATCCGAGTTAGGACCCCGACAGGTCTTCTTCGGCCTCAGGAGGCTCCTGCCTTCCAGGTGGGGCCTTGTCAGTGCTTTGGAAAACCTCTGGCGATCCCTTGTTTCTTGGCTTTGCAGACCTGGCTTTGGGTTCTTTCCACCGCCTCGAAGCTGGCCTGGTGTCCCGGGCTGCAGTTAAGGCTCGCGCCGGGGCCCACTGTGACCCGCGGCTTGGGGGAGTCTCAAGAATTAAGGCTCCAGGGAGTTTGTGGAAAGCTCAATATTTGGAAATACGGGTCAAGCCAGGGTATTTCGGCCGAGTAGTTGGCCCGGTGTGGTGTCGGGGAGTACAGGCAGCCCCTGAACTTACTAGAGGCGAAGATGGGTGAGTTCGCAATCTCATCCCGTGGCGGGTAGTGCTTTTGAAGTCGCCAGGCGGGAGTCGTCAGCGCCCACACCTCATCCCCACTCTGCTGGGGACCCCTCTCCTGACTTCGCAGAAGTCTCCGTCCTCGACTCTTGGTCCCCACCAGCCACCACCCGGCCTGAACACGTTTCCGCAAGTTATGCTAGGTGCCAGCCGGCTGGCTCCGAGGTCCGGAGGACGGGCGGCCGCGTGCGCAATGCTCACGGACCAGAGCCCAGGTGAGGCTTTGTGTTCGCAGGAATGAGGGGTTGTGTGACAGTCTGAAGGACACGCGAGAGACACGAGCAGCCCGCCTGCCGCCCCGGCCTCCAGGCACCTTCCCGGGTCCCCGCCCGTAGGCCGTCGCCTTTGTCCGGCACATTAGCATAAAGCTGCCTTGAATCTTCAGTTGAAATAATTCCACACAAAAGGAGAGTGTATGAAAGAACGAACAAGGAGAGGCCGCGCCGGCGCGGGAGCCCGCTGCTCCAGGATTCCCCCCTGGAGGGTTGAGTACCCCGGCAAGCTGCCTGCGCCCATTATTCGGCTGGGGCCGCTGGGTGGCTGGCCTCCGCCTTTATCCCCCGAGCATGCATTCTGGGCCTCCGCGCGCTCTGTCAAGGGCCCTCAAGGCTGTTGGTTTTTGCTTCGGTTGGACCATCCGGGTCAGGGTCAGGGAAGGCGCAGGAAGGCCCCGGGCGGACAGCCGGGAGGATGGTGTTGGCAAAAGCTGGCAAAGGCGCAGCCAGAGAATGTGGGGAAGCCATAACCAGAGATTCGTGCCAGGGAAGAACAGGATGGCACTGAACGAGCCTGATTGACTTTGAACGTGGGACACTGAAAGGGTCGGCTTCCCAGTGTGAGGAGAGGGCGGAAAGGAACCAGCAAACTCGAGCAAAAACTGACTAGAAAGGTCCGACGACCACATCTCTTTGCTCCAAGGCTGCAGGAGTGGGGGTCAGAAGGGGTGCACTTTTTTAAGTGGCCTGGGTCACCCTCTTTGTTTTCTGCCCTTGGGTTTTGGGCATCGGTGTTCTTCCCATCTCTCTTTCTTCTCCCTCTTTTCCCCACCCCTCCTCCTTCTAACTCTCTCATCTTCTCCACTCCTCTCTCTCCCTCCTTCTCTTACCTCGACCTATCTCTTTCCTTCTCTGGCCCCTCCTTTCTCTGTTCCACCCTATCCCATCTCTCCTTCCTTCCTTCCAGGGAAGCTTTCTCTTTTTCCACCTTTCACTCTTCCCTTCCTCTCATCCTCTTTTCTCTCCCATCTCAGCCCTCCTCTCCCTCACTCCTAGTCTATGCCATTCACTCTCCCTCTGCCTCTTTGTCCATCTCAGTTCCTAAGACTCCCTCCTGCCTTTCCTCATCCATCTATCTTGCCCGGTCTCTCTTCTCTGTTCCCTCCCTCTCTCTGCCTTTTCCCTCACCTGACTTTCACAGTCTCTCTTTTCTATCTTCCTCCGTCCTCCTCCATCTCTGCTCTCACTCTCTCACCTCTCCCAGTCTGTCTCCTTCTCCTCTCTTCTCCCCCCCTCCACTTCTCTCCTCTCCTCCCCTCTGACTATCCCTCCACCCTCTCTACCCCTCCGTGCAGGCCGACGTGTGTTATTTTATTTGTCTAGAGAGCGCCTATTTGTTCAGTGATGTGTGGCCTCCTGGCCGCCTGCTTTAATGGGGGTGCAGAGGCTTGGTTTCTGTGAACATTAG